ACAACTACTACAACAACATCTGCAACAACAACTACAACAACTACAACTACTACGACAACAACACCAAGTCAGTACTATGTTAAATGATTTATAACTGATCAAACGCTGATAAGTACAACTGAGGACATCTAAATATTTAGGCTTTAGTTATTGAATGTTTGCCATCTAGATTGATAGCATTAGGAAACATTTCCTATCAGAAGTTGAAATTTGATCCGTTTTTGATGACTTCTTTCGATCTAGGTTGATTCAAATATTGAATATACTTGTTCTGCCCAATAGTGTCATAGGAATACATTGCCGATAAGAAGAATTTCATACAATGGAACTCATTGATCACTTTAGTAATTTTTAATAACACCCACCGACTCTCAAGGTGATAGGAATAATTCTATACGTTGAAGTACTAGTTGACATAATATCGAAATGAGACATGTCTATCAACATCTGATCTCATGTTTTGGGTTCCATTTGTGTAGAGTTGAGTAATTCAAAGAAATATCGTAGCAATATAATATGTAAACTTAAAACGCGAGAAAAACGCTTTCCATTATCATTAGTTAACCCTTCGTGTATTGATTTTCTTCTGAGAACTATGCGAGAATTATGTTCTCTTACTCACAGTCACGTCCTGACACATAAGTATACCACTCATCTAAGACGGTGAAAGTACATCTTGTTTCCAATATGTTGAACAATGTAGAATGACTTTCACTCAAATTCCGAAATTCGATTATTATTTATCATAACTGAATTATAGAACAGTGTTTAAGTTTTATCAGTTCGTGACACCGATAGAACTCGAAAAATATGAATGAAATCGTTTATAACATATTTTTCATTAGTTATTTGTCATCATTAGATAGACATTTTATGCATATGCGAGATTCGAAGTCATTTTAAGAACAACATTTTTTCCTCACTTTTCTGCCTTATCTAGCGTGGACAATGACAGGAAATATGATTAGCGGACGATGTTTGCATACAGCATCCAAATCAACAAATGGATCAGTATTAGTTGCTGGTGGATTAGGTAGCAGTGGTTTTCTCAATAGTGCTGAATTGTACAATTCATCAACAGGCAGTTGGACAATCACAGCAAACATGAGTGTCGTACGATATTGGCATGCAGCATCCACATTAGCAAATGGATCAGTATTAGTTACTGGTGGAGCCGGCTCCCCTGGTTATACCAGTAGTACTGAATTGTACAATCCATCAACAGGCACTTGGACAATCACAGGAAACATGAGTGTCGTACGAGTGTATCACACAACATCCACATTAGCAAATGGATTTGTATTAGTTACTGGTGGAGACACTGGTAGTAGTGCTTACAATAGTGCTGAATTGTACAATCCATCAACAGGTACTTGGACAACAACAGGAAGCATGAGTGTCGGACGATATCAGCACACAGCATCCCTATTAGCAAATGGATCAGTATTAGTTACTGGTGGATACACCGGTAGTATTTATCTCAATAGTGCTGAATTGTACAATCCATCAACAGGCACTTGGACAACCACAGGAAGCATGAAT